TCATAAGCCCAGACTAGACAAAGGCTGAGTGGACGATACTGGAAACTGTACACAGAGTGTGTTTCTTTGGGTGACTGTGAATTTGCCGTGCAGACTTGTGGGTGTTTTTTTTTTTTTAATTAAAGAAAGAGACAGAGGCTGCGGTCTGGGGGGGGGCAGAAAGGATGACGACATGAGAAAGAGGCAAGGTGGAGGAGGGGTGGTGTGAGTGCAGCCTGCTTTACATGCAGGTCAGGTAATGCAGCGCTCCACTCTTTGAGGCTACATCCTTCTGTTGGAGCTCTGTGGCTAGCTCCAGTGAGTGCACATGCACACCTGTGTGTAAATGTTTACATGGGTGTCTTCACTTAGCAGTCAGAAATGCATTTAGACCCTCAGCCCCAATTTTAATTTGACATCTAAAACATACATCAGTTACTCTCTCTCCTTGGGTCTCACAGCATATGTAATTCAACAGGAGGTTAAAAATGACAAGATGTACATTTGGCCGTAGTAACAGAGCCTTAGTCAAGAGTTTCATCTGTCATCTAGGATTATTGCTGAATGTATTAGTGTGATAACAATAACATGATTATAATTTCCCCACAGAGGAAATGCACTGATTGCAGAATTTGCATTGATTGTAATGTTTGATTGCTAGGCTGGAGAACTGTTAGAGGAAAATGACATCTCTACAGTTTGCTCTCACACCCACCTAGTGAAATATTTGCAGCTCAAAGTCCAGCTCCAGTGTGTGCAGCTGTCAGCGGAGCAACAACTAAAACCACACGAGGCTGTGAGGAATGAACGTGTTTACCTGAGAACTTTGAGCAAGCCTCATTAAAGGAACAAACAGAGTAACGCTTGCAGAGACAGACACCAAAGACCACAAATCACTTCTGTGCCAATAAAGCCAGCCCTCGGAGTCATTTAGATTTGTGAGAAAATAAAATCATTCGTGTCCGAACAAGTGAACAGCAGTTATTCATGATACACCAGTGGTGCCCCTGAGTCGCTGTCAGGGATGAATGTTACTGGCTGGCTATATGTGTGATGAGTGATCAGGTTATCAAGGCCAATATGTGTTCAACCTGAAAAAAACCTCATCTCTTATCCCTGAAAGTGACCCGCTTCACCCATGACCTCACACACTGGATCGTCTAAGCTTTCAGTTACTCCTCTTCAAAAGAGGTGTAGATGTTTTATAGATTCAGATCTCCACTGTCCTGTGAAAAACAGGAACAATAAAGAGAAACACTCTTGTTTTTAGCTTTTGTCATAATGCACTTTTGAAATCATCCAGGGGGTTTTAAAGACATTTCTTAATTTTATTGACCCGCAATAGAGCGTTTAATCCTTATGACTTTGATGAGACGCAGTTTTCAGGGTTTACAATATCTGCTATGAATGTGTTAGAAAAAAGAAAATGGCAACTAGCTGGGTAACACGTGAAAGACTTGTCTTTAAGAATAATTGCTTTGACATACATCGGTAGAAATGTATATCATTATCACCAGACTTAGTGCCTCGGCAAGTTTAGGCACTCCCAGATATATTCACTGTTTCAATCATTTATATTTATAAAGAGCAAAAGTGGGTTGTTCAGCAAGCTCCCAAAAGCAAATGTTTTTTTTGGGGTTGCAGCTAAAAGTATTATTTTGAGAGTATATCCCCTCCTAGTTTTAAAAAGTGGCTTCATGACATGGTCTCTCGTCTTTATTTATTTGACTGAGATTAAGTACATCTAACTTGTACTGTAAGCTTGTTAATATATGGTGTCCCTTTATTGATTATATGATATATTGACTTGCCTACAACTGGGTAGCGTATGTTGATTTATGTATCGCTCTTGATTGTTGTAGCCCACAGTTTATTTGACTTGCCTTTTAAATCAAACTAATTGTACATCCCGAGGCAATTCCAGGCTGTATGAACATTATTGACAATGGAGACACAGCATATATGGGCATGAATGGAGAATTATTTGCTATCCTGGCAAACTTTTTTGTTGATGTTGTTTTTGTTGTTCTGTTACTTTTTTTTTAAACCTTGATTTTTGAGGGTGCTCTTGATGTAGTCTTGTTCCCCTATGATGCAGTTCACAAAGGGGAAATAAGAGGAATGATACAAAGCTGAAACAAACCAAATTTGATGGTGATAAAACAGCTCCAGGGGCACCTCAGAAACCAAATATTTAATTACTACTTTTACAGGAAAACCTTTTTATGCTTCTTTGTGAAGTTTCATTGGCAATGTAATTTTAAAGTGGCTGTTTAATTGATGGCGAACAGCACAAATATTTTGCAACACATCTGGGTATTTCGATTTCTTAACTGCATAAGGGTGTGCTACGAAGATAGTTTTTGCTATGGAATTGGAGCATAGCTTAAGTTTAAAGGAAAGGTTTGATCATTCTGCATACATCTTATCTTCTCCTTCTTGTACAAAACAATAAAATGCCATTATTTATTGCATACTAACCACAAAACATTATAAAACTGTAAATAAATGTGTATGCACGTGTTTTGTACTGTTTGTCTGGTGTTCAGAGATGTTTACAGCCTGCAGATGGTCTCATTGTATAAACCTTTTTCACAGCACACATTTTGACATGTCATTGAAGGAAAAGCATTCCACTTATGTGAACCATTTCCAGGATCACGCTTGCTGAGCGGCATTGTTTAGTGGGACACCTAATGGAACTCAGCCATTGTGAGTGTTGTTAGCTACACCTGTGCTTTTTCTACTGTGACAACTCAAAGTGTTTGCTGTGAAAAAGGTCTATTAGACCTGACGCTGTGGCTTAGTGTCTTCTTGACCAGCAAACATGAAAGAGAGAAACATCAAGTGAGTGAAGAAGGAAAAAATGATCAGGGCTGAATGAGGCAACATGGAGTGAAAGACTAGATTACAATAAGGTAATAATCAGTGAAAACATTGCCTCTGATGCTCATGTTTACTTAAATAATATAGGCTTTAGTTGATATAGTATTAAAATGGAAGACTGATAGGAATAATGAAAACATGAGCTATAATAAATCAAAACTAGCGTGTAACCTTTTTTCCCTGAGTAATGTGGGTCCTAGCAAAGTGAGGTTGAATGAACTGAAAATTGCCTGCAGATAAGAATAAAAATTAGAATAAGAGTTTGGATTTGAATTAAAATTCATGAATCCTGCACAATCTTTTTTTAATTTTCCATGTCGTTTTGAGGTATTTCTGGGCCATCAGCGGTTTGGCCTGGGTAATTCTGTTTTAATGGAAAGCTCAATTCCCGAGGCTGCGGCCAAAACATGGGCTCTTTTTCAGAACAGCAGGACGGGCAAATGGATATATGCTGGTGAAGATGAACAGATGAGGTTAGGATGAATTCAGCGTGGCAGGTGGAATCGAAGAGAAAGAGACAGGAGAGAGAGTGAGGAGGAGACAGACCAGTTGCCTCTGGTGGAGAAGTTTGAGAGAGAAACCAATGTCCCAGCAACAACGTGGGCTGCTGGTTCATTTGATTTCAGGCGTTTCATTTCCTCCCTTTCAGCAGTTACAGCCAACAGACCGGTCTGGTTTCAGGTGGCTTTGTAACCCAACACCAGCAAAACACAGCCACCCCCTGCATGAACAAAAATCAAACTTAATGATTGTGGTTTAGATGGCTATAATTTGACTGTCATAAATAGCCTGTCAGGAAAGGAACCTCTTACACAAAAACAACTTAGGAAATGCAGCTGACAATGCTCTTTGACTGATCTCCTCTCCAATCCAGTTTGTTCTGTTTTATTCCTTTTGTCAATAAACACAAGTCATTAGAAGTCAACATCTAACTTTTCCTTTTTTTTGTCCCTACCTCTCTTCTTCTGTTCTTCATGAAACGTCACAGCAACAGCCCAACTACTGGAGCTTTAAGGTCAGTGCTATGTGTCTAAGTGTCCCTGTGTGTTTGTCAACCTTCCTGTCCTGTGTGTGTTGTTTTGCGATGGCAGAGGTGTCAGGGTGGTGACATCTTAAACTTCTCTAGGTCCATTTAATCTGCAGAAAACGATTCTCGTGAGATTTATCATATCTCAGTCAGCTAGCGTTAATGGCTAGAAGCCACGTGACCTTGCTGAAGTATTACTCAGACTGAGACATTAAGAAGACATTTTTGACATGCTACAGAGAAAATGAAGTAAGCTGTGATTTTAGCACAGAGGCTTGAGTCAACACTGGGCTGCTGAATGTGTTTTATCCACAGGTTGTAGGGAGAAAATATGAGTTGTACTGTATATGCTGGAGAAGACCAGCTGTTTATAAGCTGGTATGCGTTGTAATGTGTACTGCTTTGTGTGGCTTTATACCTCATATAAGCTGGCAGGAAGGTGTGCTATCTAAACAGAGCAAATTAAAGGACTTATTGATGTGTGGGGGGGTGGAAGTGCCCAGGGCTCATCTGTGGTGTAGTCTTCCCTGCTCACAATATCATTTGGACAGGGTGGGAATGTCACTGAGTATCAATAACCATATGCCCTGACCCATGGGGACGTCTAAGCAATCTCTCACTCCCACAGCTGAAACGCAAGTGATATGGCTTTATAGCCCTGTCTAACACACAAATCTATTATATAGCTAAATTGTTTTAAACTCTGTAGGATTGTTTTCAATAAAGGTAAAATGTAATAAATTGAAAATGTTAAAATGCTGTGCAATTGTGCAGAAATCATTATTATCATTTTTCAGAGCTCAGTGAACATACACATGAAATGGAACTACGGTACTATCAGGACTAAACTACAATAACTTTTTACCTCTGAAAAAACTATTATCATCAGTCTAATCATGTAGTTTTCTTTTTAAATCTTATTGAAGACCAGAACAGGCGCTGGACATGGAACAATGCACAGTTGAATGTCTGTAACATTTGGTTCTCGCCATGTTTTGAGGCTGCCTCGCTTCAGTCTATAAGAAAAAAGAATCACTACCAGAAATCTCAGCCATCATCTCCCCCCTCAAAGATAGCGCCATTTGCTCCCTCTCTTTCTGAGCAAACTGATTGCGTTGACACACAATTCACAGCAATTTGACAAAGCAATTTGTTCCATGCATTGATGACTCTTGGTGTTATAAAGAGACAAGAGCGAAGGGTGTTGGGTGTTATGAGATTGTTTGTCGAGGCTTTGGAGTTGAAAAAGTTGTAGACAATAATGATAGTGGGAGAAGAATAGGTAGAGACAAAATGGATGTTGGCGATGGATCGATTTAGGGAGCTGTTCTTGCTCTCGGTTTTCTCAAAAAGAGACCTGTGAACTTTTTTTGTGTGGCAAAAGAGCCAGAGAATGTCGACACAGAATGTTCATATGCAGACAGTAGCACCGTATGAAAGGGAGCTGGATGTGGCTTTGGCCTCTGCCACTACAGACAGAGGAAGAGGCAGATATGCTGACATAAAGCAGCTCAGCAAGAGTCAGCAGCGAGCTTTGGGAGTGGTGAGTAGAAGACAAATGAGTGACAGCGGTACAAAGTAAGGAGAGGACAATAGACAGCTGGAGGCAAAAATAGACACAAGCTACTGAGGAAGAGAATGAAATCATTTGGGAGAAACCAGAAAAACTGGAAAAAAACACAGAGATACAAAAGGAGAAAGTGTTGAGGATCCTGATTTTAACCATTAACACCTTTATCCCAAGTAATACCCTCAAAACAAAAAACTCCGTTGTCAATTTACACACATCATACTGTGCTTGACATTTATATTGTTAAAGTATATACAGTAGTCTTGTTCAAGTCCAGCAGAATGTCATTTCACCTATCAGGGAAATTACTAGAAAGAAGAGACTGACAGCAGGGATCATGTGTTGTGCCAGTATCAGGATTTAGCCCTCGTATTTAGAACCAATTACCGTGTGCCGCTGGATATCTTAGAATTACTAGTGTACTTTTATGCAATTGTAATTCAAACCTGACAACCACATCCTCCACACTGGAGGAAATAACAGCAGCATCACCTTCTGCAATCCCACTAAAGTAATTTAAAGTTGAATCAAGCTCACTACAGTTTACAGCTGATCTTTTGATAACAGCCATGTGAGAAGTGGGAGTATGAAACAGCTGAAACTGCAGGACGACTGACCAAAACTGATACAGTCGGTCAGAAATTCAACAGCTCTTCCTATAAAACAGACTGTTTGATTGTTCGAGCAATTAATCAGCCTTTGTGACCCCTTCAACAAACAACAAACGATGTGGCAGAATTTTGACAATGCAGTTACTTTTAATTGGCCAGAAACACCCACACTGTCTCATTACAGTACTGGATATCAAAGTAAAGAGGTTTACAGACTGAGGCAGATAGATTTTGATGAGATGTGCTCTCCCAGATACTAAGGCTATCATTGTTGACTTTAAAACCGAGAGAGACCCAATGTGTGTGTATACGCATTTACTCGAGCTTGTGTGTACTAGCACACAAAACAAAAAAGGATATGGTGGGAGGTTGCACTGAGTTTAATGCAGTTTGTAGCCTAAGGTCTGTTGTCAGGCCGCCATGTCCCGCTTTCCACTCCATTCGCTTCTGTTTCGTGTAAGATCATCTTGTCCCCTACTTGTTCCTTTTTCTCCCACGCCCTTATAACAGTGTAGAGTTCTCAACAGTAATTGAGTGCTGTTGAAAAAAAAAATATCTGGATCACTCTAAAAGAAAGGGTTGAGGTGGAGGGACAGCATGAGGGAGGGAGGTACAGTACAAGGGGAGGACTGTAGAGGAAAATAAGGAGGTAGAACCAGTTTTCCTCAAAGGAGGCTGTGAATACCATCATGTGGAACATTGGTACATCTAGCAAGACCAGATGCATGGCCAGATGGCATATTCACATATACAGTAATATTTACAATGCAAAATTACTGAAGAGAGACTTTCAGTTTTCATATCACATAAACCCCCAATATGGAGGTCGGTGTTTGGAGCCTGTTGTTACAAAGGAAGCTGGCTAAAAGCATATATAATGACAGCTTCAGTGAGATTACAAACACTCATAATTCAGAGTTTCATTGTCTTGTTCAACAGCACAGTCGTAGCTGTTGAGAAATTAGAATATTACATACACTTTTCACGTTTCCCCTTTCAGCTAGTTCAGAAATTTAAAATTTGAGTCTGCTGATGCTGTGACATGAGCTCAGTCATGCAGCACTGTATTCTCAATTCGCTTTTCCTTTTCCCAGAAAGCTCCAGCTAAGTTATTTAGCTTTGAAATAAGGTTCTCACATGCTGCAGTAGAATGACTCAAGATTTTGAAATGTGGTTTTGCTCAATGTTTTTCTCTCAGCAGTGTAAAAATAAATAAATCTTTGGCATGTTGTAGGTATGGTGATGTTCTCAGTCATTCCTGAAAGTAGTCCTCATATTGGCATGCCAACTCAGTTTCTGGGTGTTTATTTTTTTTAGGAGTAATATGGTTATGTTCAGACAGCTGGTTCCCCTGAATAAATACCAGGATTTGTTAAGTTCAAGTCTTTCAATTTTTTATTTTTATCACACGCCTTTTTTGTTTGCACTGAGAATGTAATATGAATCAGCAAACTATGTAGAATGGCTGTATGTGGTAGCTAAACATTTACTATACAGGCATGAGAGTCGCATCAATCTTTTCTTCAAAGTCTCAGCAAGAAAACAAATAAGCATTTCCCAATTATTGTTAGCTGTTCCTTTAAATATAAAATTGTTGAATGAATACACAAAAATATAGGGAACCTAAACAAAATCTAAGTGACTCTAATTCATTAAGAGGATTCAGATCAGATAATGTGCTATCAAACCCAGCTCTACCAAGTATTCTTAGTACAGCTAGCCAAAATATGACAGAGGGCAGTAAATGTCATTCCTCTCTGGTGCTGTTGGCTGTGTTGTTGTTCACTGTTGTCACAGTGTAGATAAACGACCCCATTAGAAAACACATTGGGGGTTATCTGTTGGCATCACCATCCTTCTGCATGCTCAGACAGTGTCTGCCAATGCAATCAGTGGACACTTTCATTCTGTGTGTTTGTGGGGATGTGTGACTGAATTATGTATGATAGTGAAATGAGGAGCATGCCGTTATCAGAAGGATGGTTCTCAGTCTTGATGAGGGTTGTAACTTACTCTGTAAAAAAAAAAAAAAAAGTGCTGGCAATGCTGTCGATGTAAAAAGCAAATAACCAATGATAGCAGTACAGTATTTATGGGTTGCTACTGCCCATTTAGTTAGTTTACTGTACTCCTGCAACAATTAATTGATTCATTGATTGACCGGCATTTAATCAACAACAACAACCTATCTCGCTGATGGATGAGTTACATGATTAATTGACTAACACATTTGTCAAGCAGAAAGACTAAGAGTCTGGCTTGGAGCTAAATGCTAAATTCCACATGAGGCTAACAGTGCCATGCTGGTTAACCAGTAGTAATGTTTTCTTTTCTTTAGCTTGCTTGTTCTTTAAAACTAAACACAAAGTACAGTTGATGTCGATTGGAAATATTTAGTTTTGCAGGTGTTTGGTCATAAACAGATGTTTGTGACAGATTGAATCATGAATGTCTGTACAAAATTATATCATTTCATCATTTCATCATCTAATAGCTGATGAGAAATTTTAACTGAGACCAAAATGCTGGAAAGACAGAGCAACTTTGCCATCCATAGAGCCATGCCACTAATGTGGCAAAAAATACAAAAGTTGCTATTAAAGGGCATGTTATGTTGTTTTCTTTTTTTCGATTAAATGATTAATTGAAAAAGTAGTGTCTAGTTGCAGCCTTAGTTTACTGTTCAACATGGCCTCCTATGTTACTGCCCAATTAACAAAAACATAAATGGGTGTGTGAGTGTGTTCAGTGTAGTGTTGTGTGGTTATGAATGAATTCAAACAGCCTGCTGCTGAGAGTCAATGAGCACAGAGATGGCCCTCTGTGTGGCTTCTGTCAAATGATCCTATTAATTAAATACTATATTAATGAAAGTCACAGTAGATCCATGTTGTAGCATGACTTGCACAGACAAGAAAATCCTTGCAAGGAGTAAAACTTGTTGTGTTCATGGTGCAAGGAGGAGACAGTCATACCTACTGCACTGTGGCTAAGGATGTGCCTGCCTCTGTCATCCAAACAATCAGCAGAAAGCATTCTGGGAGCTCATTACAGCAGCCTCTGAGCTGCAGCAGATGCTACAGCGGTGGGGGATCAGGGAGCCAGTTCAGTGAGCACAGCCCCAGATGCAGGTTTTTCAGTTTTTCAGTGAGAGACATCTGGGCGTAGGCTTGTAGGATAAACCCACAGTGACAGGGTGGGATTTGCATGCACTTCTCCTCCCATCCAACAAGCATTCATTTAAAGTTCATAGCTGCACAGGGACACAGGTTTGCATGAGGACATGTGGGAGGTGTGCAAAGTAGAGCAAACATGAGAAAACTAATGCAAAGCTAGAGCACAGTTTCAGGCTTAATTTTACTCCGCAGCCACCATTCACGAAGGTTGATGCCCAGGAGTGCTGTGCCATTTGAGTACAACTACTGTATAATGTGTTTTTCATACTGTAACACAAGTAATTCTTAGTGAATAGCTGGCTGCTAAATCATTGTCAAGCTCTCATTAATCTTGTTATATGGTTCATTGTGTGGTGTCTCATTGTGTGCTCACTGTCTCTTTTCCAGTTGGTTTTATTTCACGGGCACCATCTAATTCATTCTTTCCACCTCAAATTCACCTCTCAGTCAGCTGTGTTTCTTCCTGTCTTTTGCTGCAGAGCCGCAGTCCACGGCATTCCCAGTCTACCCAGTCTGGGCTTGCCGACCAGGCTGCCAAGCTCTCCTTTGCCTCCGCTGAATCCTTGGAGACCATGTCGGAAGCCGACATCCCCCTCGGGTTCAGCCGGATGAACCGATTTCGCCAGAGTTTGCCGCTGTCCCGCTCTGCCAGCCAGAATAAGCTACGATCTCCAGGTTAGGATTTGAAGCACTGGTGGTTGGCTCTTGTCACATCATGCTGATTGGATTCAAGGCAGATTTTCAGCTCTGTTCTCTTCACGTGGCTGGTGATGTGAATTGCTGTGCTCACTGAGAATGGGAGTGGGAACTGTTAAACTTTCACCTCATTTAACATAACAGCTTTGTTTAGTCTCATTGTTTTGTTGCAGAGAACTGGAATAACATAACTTTGTTGAACGGTTAGAGAACTTAGAGTAACAAGCCATATATTTTCACATTATTCAACCAGAATATGAGCAAACCTTGTTTCCTAACATCTGTGCAGGTGTAGAAGTTCTAATGTATAGTTTACTGTGTTTAGTATGGAATAATTAAAGCCTACTTTTTTCTTCAGATAGTTATTTTGGTGGTGTTTGTTTGGCTGTAATATTGCACACATGCTTTAATCATACAGTACTAAGGATATGTTTGTGCTCAGTTGCTGAGTCAAAGACGGGCTTAGTACAAAAGGTCCTTGGAAGTGCAGAGAGGGTTAGTAAGAGGCTAGTCCGAGCTCATAAAGACAAAGGTGTGGTGAAATGTCAGGTCTGGTGAGATAAAAAGTGGCTGTAAAACTAAAGTGGCAGTGACTGATGAGGGCAATTTTGGATGAGGACTGGAGACAGATGTAGAACAGCAGAGCTGCCAGTTCTTCCACCCTGTGTCTCACAAATAATTATCTTTGTGTTCTTCTCTCCCCTACTGGTCTGCTGTATCCCACTTGTTTTGCCTGACTTGTAATCACTGATCATTCTCAGCTTTGTTTGGTGCTTTTGTTTGCCACATCATGTATGAAGATACATTTTCAGGTTAGTCAGGAATCAGACTCATCTTTACCTAAATGAATAGTTTCAACATCTGACAAGGAATTCTATGAACATGGCTATTTTGGGGTAATCTTATATCCATTGTGTTTACTTAATTATCAATTAGGAATAAACAATCTGCCTGCCTTAAACAATCTTTGCTCCTTATTAGTGAATTCTCACTCAGCTCTTACTGTCTTATAGTCACTTCCAGAAAGAGAAAATGAGTGCTTACAATGTCATTGATTAATCAAGCTGATATCTGATAATAAAAATCTTTATCTAGCTCTTGAATACCAAGAGACAGAACATCTGGAGTGAAGTTTACAAAATGGCAAAACATGTGTCTAAATTTGACAGAATTGCTTGTCTAGTTGTTTTCTCCATTCTTTAAAGTCATCCCCTTCTGATTTAACCATCTCAACAATCAATTTCTTTTAGGTGTGCTGTTTCTGCAGTATGGGGATGAGACACGGCGGGTGCACATTACCCATGAGCTGAGCAGCATGGACACGCTGCACGCTCTCATTGTGCACATGTTCCCTCAGAAGTTGACAGCAGGTATGCTGAAGTCACCCAACACGGCCATCTTGATCAAAGATGAGGCACGTAACGTCTTCTATGAGCTGGAGGATGTGCGGGATATCCAGGACCGCAGCATCATCAAGATTTACCGCAAAGAGCCCATCTACGCTTCCTATCCTGCCGCAGCACACCTGGCTAACGGAGACCTGAGGGTGAGGAGAAGGGAGCCGGGGGAGTTGGGTGGTGAAGAGGGCAAACTGGTTTATTTAGAAAAAGAATGCTGTCTGATCTACAAGTATGATGTTTGACAGCTAAGCCGTCAGTGAGAGCTGCTAAATACTCTTCCTCCACATAAAGAGGATCAGTATGTTTCTCAAGGTAATGGTGTTTCTGTTTTTTCAATATCATTGGTAACTTTGACAGGCTGTTGAGTGTATGTGGGTTAGTAATTTAACAGGTATTCCTCTGGGAAATGTATTTTCTTATCTTCAAGTAGGCCATCTGTTGCTGTGCAGACACCAGAGAACAATGTACCTCTGTGAAATGAGCATATTTTAACATCTGAAGCTATTTCTGCTTCAATAGAGATCAAGGAAGCCTGAGGGAACCCTTTTTAAAAAAAATATTTTATACAAAAGCCTGCTTACCATTTGCATTAGTCACACAATACTGAGAATACAACTTCTATTAACTGTGCAAACAGGCAGTGAAAAACGATTATTTCAATGTACTGTATGTTGTCTGTGCATACTCATGCATGTGTGAATACAAGAAACGAATGAAGTGGTAAAGAGAAAACTGACCAACATACTTAAACTGCCAGAGCACCTCTACTTATTTTAATAAACCCTCAAACAGAGTTTTAGTGCCGTACCGGGAAATCTTATAGGTCTAGTTTAAAGCAACACTTTTATTGGGCGAAACCAAGAATAATCAAAGTTACCCATCTTTCACAGTAAATGTGAGACGCACAAACCATATCTTCTTTATAACTGTTGGAGGCTAAACACAGGCTGCATCTTAACAAGCATCTTGCCATTTATTTGCTGCTGTGCGTGTTGTGTGTCTAGTGCTATCTTGTGCAACATCTTAAGGTCCTGCACTTTTATGTAGTCTGTCACCTGTTGTAGTTGTCCATACAATTTTTGCAAAGCAGACCACATTATGTAGTTGTGTAAAAATATATTCCTCTGCATCAAGCCTCAGCATAGAGATTCCTTTGGCATGCTCCTGCTTTTTCTGTGTTTTTCATTGTGCTGCATGACAAGGTAAGCTAGGACTGTGTGAAGCGAATGAAAAGAAAAGCAGAGGTGAGCCAGGCAACAAAATGTAATTGCAGTATGTGACAAGGAAAAGCAGATTCTTTGGATTTTGAGAGCTGCAGAAATGAGAAAAATCACAACATATGTAAATTAACAACAGGAAAAGAGGCAAATGTGGGTTGTAAAAAAAAAACAAAAGAAAAGCACTGGGCTTGTTTAATGATGTTATGATGCTGTACAAAGAAAGGAAGGTAAAGGAAGAAATGTAAAAGCTAAATTGATGGTGGACATACATAAATACTGTATATTTGGTAAATTGTAAACTTGTCACTTTTATCTTGTCACATGATCTCCTGATATGTGATATGCATTTTCTTTAGTTTTTGTCATTGACATGATTTTAAAATACTTACCAAAACCATTAGAGACAGTCATTGGACAATTGGTCTTTTGAGAAATTCATAATCTTCCATTGGCATCTGCAAACTGTGACAGCCTGTCCAGCACCAGTCAGACCTCAGTTGTGTTCATGTCAAACTGACACATGGGAACCAACACTCTCCTCTGTAGGTCGCCATGGTAACCCTAATCTCTGCTTGTTCATTGCAGAGGGAGATGGTGTACTCCTCTCGTGACTCCTCCCCAACTCGCCGCCTCAACACCCTCCCCTCTTCTACGGCCTCAGTATCTTCTGGCTCTCCATCCCGCTCACGTCTCTCCTATAGCGCAGGCCGCCCTCCATCCTTAACTGGGTCTCATCCCCAGCATGAACAGCCCCGACACCCCCACCATCCCTCTGCCGGCCACGGTGCCAACACAGGCCTGTCTCCCTCACCCAGCGCCATCCTGGAGCGCCGTGATGTCAAGCCTGATGAAGAAGTTTCGGCAAAAAATATGGCATTATTGAAGAATGAGGGGCTGTATGCAGATCCCTACAGCTTGATGCATGAGGGCCGCCTCAGCATCGCCTCCACCCAGTCGCTAGCTACAATCGGAGACCCCTTTAGCTTCCCTGTTTCCAGTGGCCTGTACCGCCGTGGCTCTGTGCGCTCCCTCAGTACCTATTCAGCTGCTGCTCTTCAGGGGGACCTGGAGGACTCCCTGTACAAGCCTGGAGGTTCACTCTACTCTGACACATATTCCTCTGCTACGCTGGGCATGGGTTTTCGCATGCCGCCCTCATCCCCACAGAAAATCCCTGACATGCAGTTGAGGGACAGGGACTCGTATTCCAGTTCACTCAGCAGAGGCTCACCTGTCAGGCAGTCCTTCCGCAAGGACTCTGCCTCCTCTTCTGTGTTTGTGGAGAGCCCAAAATCAAGACCCAGCTCCAGTTCAGAGCCTTTGTGTCTGACAGCCGGGCCTGGGGAGGGCAGCAGGGCAACATCTGGCTTTGGTTCTTCATTGTCTGGACAAGACTCTGACATCAGCAGGTCAGTACGCATCTGTGTAATATTATTTATTAAGCTATGTCATACTGTCTCAAGAACCCCTTGTCTTCATTAGTTTCTGAGCAGTAGAATCATACACAAACACCATATTATCTCACAACTTTTATCAGGTTTTGTCCGCAATAGTTTTAAGTGGTTAGAGGTTTGTTGGAAAAAGGTGATTTTTCATAGTCAAATTTGTTGTTGGTTTGTTTACCTTGATCAAATTTGATCAAAACACACGCACACAATAATAATTAAGAGGTTCAGAAGAATATTGCATCTTTTAAGCCTTCGTCATTTTTGGTTGTTTTTTTTTTCACTTAAACTTTGAGTGGGACTTATTTGATTACAAGCATTTAATTTCACAAAGAATCTATTGAAATTTAAGACCAGGTTCTTTGAAAAGCTTCGCTGCTCAATCTGCAGCTCTCTGTGCTGCATAGTTACACAGCAAAAAGACCTTTGTTCATCTGCCTTACTGTGTTTACTGTCTGGTGACACGTGTCCATCTGTGGTGTTTACTTTTCAAGGGATCATCGCCTGGAGCGCATGGAGGCCATGGAGAAGCAAATAGCCAGCCTGACTGGGCTGGTGCAGAGTGTGTTGACCAGAGCGCCAGACAGTGACAGCACGTAAGGCTCCATTATATCCCATCAACCCACAGATTCACATTCAGCTCCGATACATAGGCAGCATTATTGACAGGAACAGCAGCAGGCTATTACCAGGGCCATTATCGGTAACATAGCAGTGAAGTGGTACATTACCTTGTGTGAGCACAGCACAAGTACACAGCGCTAAACATTAGTTGTGCTATTGATTTATGTACTGATACAGAGAGGTTTAGGATAGGATAGGTTCAGTTGACTTCAGGTCCTCATTTACATGAACACTGTTGTCATGGCACTCCACCCTCATGAGCACAATAGGGGCTAATTAACAAGAAAATTTGTTAATTTAATCCGTTTGATAGTGTCCAGGAGTAGTGCTGTTAGCGTTAGCACTGTAATTGCCTTGCCCTGTGGCCGTTGATCCTCAGATGCGGCCTGCTGCGTCTCTGCATGATGGCGGGCTGCCCTCCGGACCAAGGGACGGAGTTCTCACGGACATTACCTTTCTCTTCCAGCGAGAAGACTGAAACCAATAGCGATGGCTCCACCACTGGACGTGAGTTGTATACAAAACTGTCGTCCTCGCAGTTTAGAAATGATTTAAAGATTTCTTTTTCCTGTGAACAATGAGCCAGACTTAACAGAAGATAATGGGCACAAACAACATGGTGACATCCTGGTTTATTTACACATGATAGTGGTTTCCCAATGGGGGTGAGGACAACATGTCATCAGTTCCAGGAAGCTGCAATCACCTGGTTTAGTTCAGTTACTGAGTTGGTTCAAGTTGCTTTTACCCCTGTAGATGGGTTGGTTTAGTCCAGACCAATGGAAAAAAAGTACATTTTTGTCATTTAGTTCTGGTGTGGTTCATTTAAACATGCAGTTATACGGATTCAGTGGTTGGACAATTTGGCAGTTACCCATCATCCTGCATCCAAAGACCAAATGCTGATATCAGATTGTAGCATTATTAGTAATATAATATTAAGATGTAAATTGACTGCACATTACAAATAAAGACAGACAGGTAGATCAAACAGACGTACCTTGTGCACCATGTTACAGGGGAGGGGGATTATTCCGATTAAAAATATAGTCTATGACATTTATGTTACCACTTTCTAATGTTTTCCGATTAATTTCCTGCCAATTGACTAATTGATTAATAAAGTAATCCCTGCAGCCCTAGCATGATCGTTACATCATGTACCACCTAATGAGCTGTCAAAGTACATCGAGCAGGATACAAGTACAGCATACCGCAATTTAAACAGCTTTTGATGTGCATATTGTACACGTTACCATGGTTACAAAATGACTTGTGTAACCTTCACAGCTTATGCAGATCATTTATTATAAGAGCACTTCCTGAACAGTTCAGTCAGCAGTTGGATTTAATAATAGTAGCAGCTCTGGTTTTGATATGCAAAATTCACACTTGTCTTAATCACAGCAGCTCAAGCAAACTGAACTTAACAGGTAAACGCACAACATCTGCTTTATAAGAATGTGTTTAAGAGTGAAAACAGCCTTCAACATAAAATTTCTACCTCATTCATCTCGATTCTCTTTTCTGGTTCTCTTTCACTCTGTCTTTCTCTATTGGAGCTGAAATGTTTCGTTCCATATGACTCATTCACCATCTGAAAATACAGATAACAAAAATAATGGTTGGTTAAATCCACTTTATAGAACTGGAAGAGGCCATAGTAAGGAATGGTCCAATGCCTGTGAAAGGTACTTGAGAATTTCCCAACTTAGTCAGGTGAGCAAGTCATTATTAATTTCAGTCTAAATTTGTCCAATATGGAGACATGTTTTGCCTCACTAAGCATAAATACAAAAAGCAGGGAGGAAATTGCTGGCAAAGCTTTGCCAAAAACAAACAAATATATGTAAAATACTTCCTAGAATCTTTAGAACTCTGTTAAACAAGCAACATACAAGATTGTAAATATACAAGCAGCTCCTTGCTGAGTTAATAGGACGGACAAGTTTGAAGCAGTTGAAAGGTTTATGCTTGTTTTTTCACTTATGACTATCCTTGTCCTGGGTACACAGAGATTGAATTATATGTTTGTGTATTTTTTCAAAATACCAAACTGTTATTTAACTTACAGGAGAAACATTTTTCAAAATAGAAATTTTGAAATACTGATGGAAATCATTTTGTAGCCAACTGGATAAAACCCTTTATCTTCCTGCTCTTTTTCTTCCTCCTGTCCTTTTTTTCTCCTGCCGTGTTCATAATTTTGTGGTGCACTTTTCGCACAAACATTCACTGGGCCACTGTGAGGACACAGTTGTCTTTGAAGCTCCCTCACAAATTGATACACTGACAAAAGACCAAGCTATAGAAAAAAAAACATGCTCCCCAAAATCATCATCCTGTAACTATGGCGATTTAAGATTTTCTTCTCCCTCTTTGTCTCTCTGTCATCATTTCTCAATAACTGACTCACTCTTTCTATATTCCAGCTGGACGGCTGAAGCGGAAAGGTAGTTTCCATCTCCTGCCCTCTCACCCTCTGTCTTTCTCCTATCAGACATGACTCTCTGCCCTCTGTATGGGTTTGTGGTGTTGCTGGGTAGCCGGCAATGTCTATCCTTCTGTCCTCTTCCTGGTTGGTTTCCCAGACAATGGACCCTCCTCCTTCCTGTCTCTGTTTCTACTTTTCTAAATTTCTGCTTGGTTATTCCTTTGGGAATTTCAGACGGTTGTCAAAGACTAGGCACTCCTTTGTGAGTGTGTACGTGTGTGTGTGTAGAATAAATGGGAGTCAGTGGCTAAACTCACAAAGCCCTGTGTTAAGATAAGAGCATGGTTATCCCCTTGTGCATCACCTTTGAATAGACTAATTGCACTTCTGTATGGGCTACTAATAGCATGAGCTCATGTTTCTCCCACTGGGCTATTAGATGCTTTTTCTTGCATTCACACACTGTATTTGTTCAGTGTGTGTGTGCCCAGATTTTCTGTATATGTACATTTCTTTATGCTGTGTATGTTACTGTTTGTGTTGTGTGTTGTGCTGGCTAACTGCAAATCTCAACAGAGCACAGCCCAGCAAACTAACCAATTTGTTTTCCAAAAAAAACCTCTAGCTCTGATGCCACCACTGCCTTCTAACACAACCCCGGTGAACAGCATCAGCCGCTTCCAGATGCAGCTCCACTTGCAAGGTTTGCAGGAAAACGCCACCGATCTCCGCAAGCAGCTCACCCAGTTACGCAAGATACAGGTAAATAGTTTATATCATGACAATCTATTTATTTTGATGTTTTTTAAAGATTGTATTCTCCCAAATTACAAATATTAATAATAATAACATTACTGGTACCTAGCCATGCAGGTATTTTTAATTTCATGTGCCCCAATTTTTATCTGTTTCTCTGATATTCTAGTTTATAATTTGTCTTGCTTTCCAGCTGGCATTTATAAATGCCAGTGTAAATGGCAGTCAGTGTTGTCTGATCACATGGGTGCTGACAGAGGGCATGCTAGAACACCTGCTGTTGACTGCCGTTTGTGTCTTGGTCTTTGTATTTTAACACTCTCTTAGGCACCAGCGTGCATCTGTTAACACTGGAGAAATGTAAGGAAATATACATTTGCATATCATTTACATGGATATAGTTTTTTTATGGTGCAATACATTGGAAATATTTTGTGTGTCTTTCCAGAAACAATGTTGTGATTATTTTGCATAAACATGTTGTCATTAACATCTTTCTACCAAAGAAATAGCACCTATCAAAAACGTTGACAGCATGTTCAGTGGACTTTCCAGAGTAAAACGGACATTGTTTGTGAATTCATATTAATTTAATCAAATCGTAAGGCATTGATTTATTAGTCTGAATGATGTACAGCAATAAGAGTGATTCTTTGCAGGGTCTGATTAAAGTGGGTGACATATAGAATCCACATTATACAGTTATATGTGATTTGCTTTAGTGTTGAGGTTTACAGATTGCACCAAGTTACATGCAGTTAAAAGTTTTTATGATGTGCAGTAAAGCATGTCAGCACACATGCATACAGGAGCATTGACTTTGTTGTTTATTTGATGGTCACTTCATAATACAATAAATAAGACCTGCAGGTTCACATGACCGTATTGCACTGAGGGCACTGTTTAGAGGATTAATAATGAAAGGTAAAAGCTTAGATCAATTGGTATTCCACAGAGACACAGGATGTCGCAACGGATGCAGAATCAGATGAAATGTGACAAGGGAAAGATTAATAAAAATGTGGAAATGAGGTTCTTATTTATTCCATTTACCTCTGATGCAAGCAGTTCCAGGTTACTGTAGGAGGGGTCCAGATGATACGATGAGTAAAATGCTTTAAGGGGTAGGAAAGATGATTTGCCAGATGAAAGGCATGCAGTGGTTTTATTTGTTCCAGGACATCGGTCACAAGGGCTTCTTGAACTGGCTCAGCACTGAGACAGAGAGCCGAACAGCCAAAGCATTGCAGTACCATGAGAGGACAGTTTGCTGTTTATCTGTCTGTGTGCCCAAGTGTGACCCCGGCACCTGGACTCATATTGTTGCCTGTGGCCATGGGCAGCGGCTTAAATTTTACATGTGGTTCATGAATTATACAGAGGGAGGTTGCAGGAGAGACAGGCAACTGGGAGAGAGGGAGCACAGCACTGCAAGATAAAAAAGTATTTTCCTTTAGATATAATACTGTACATTTCATATGTGTTCTAGTATTCCGTACGTTTGGCCTCACTGCTGGCAGTATAATTGGATAACACTGGGCAATTTTAAATGTTAAATAAGAGATATTGCTGTCTTGCTTCATTTCCTGGAGCATAAGGCTGATCAGTTATTAATTTTTCTTGCTTACCAGGTGCTTTCATCTCAAATAGTTGTATTACATGCAGTGGTTTGTAGAATATTCCAATTATAACACTGAGAGGGTGCTGAGTTCACGCTCAGTGCCTCTACTATGGACATCATTCATTCTCCTCAGGGCGTCCTGGCTTTCTGCATTATTTTATGCACATGCTGTACACGCACACACTAGAGTGAACTAATTTCTGCATCTAGCAGTGCGTCTAAGAATAAGACATTTGGTATGAAGGCCCCATCAAATGATGACTGAAAACACACAAGCAGTCAAGGATGGAGCAAAATGGTCTTCTCAGATAACAAGGCAGAGAAGGCTGTTCAGTAAAACAAGAGGCCACAGCCTGCTCTATCAAGGATGGAGCAAAATAAAATTTGCACTTGCTGTAAATCACTGAGGTCTGTTTTGAAAAGTCATAGGAAGTGACCGCTCTGCTCCTCACTGCCCTTCTGTTATGCTATGATGGCAGCGATTGCAGATTCCATGACTGCCGCTCTGCTCCTCATTGCCCCTCTGTTATGCTACGATGGCAGCGATTGCAGATTCCATGACTTCAACAAACTTTTCTTCAGAGGTCACTGAGGTGTCAAGGATAGCCAAGAGTTGGACAGCAGTGATAGTTGCTAACATCAATACAGTTCACTTCCAAATACCCACTGAGTGCACAACATGCTGAAGTAAGGCCAGTATCTGTCATCTGTAATGTCATGTTGGAATGTGTGTGCAGCTAGAGAACCAGGATTCGGTGAAAACTCTGCTGAAGCGAACAGAAGCAGAGCTGAACGTGCGTGTTGCCGATGCCCTGAGGAAGCAGGAGGATCCCCTGCAGAGACAGCGTCTCCTGGTGGAGGAGGAGAGACTCAAGTATCTCAATGAGGAGGAGCTCATCATCCAGCAACTCCAGTCAGTATTTAGGATTAAGCAATAATGTTAGCGACTGTAGAAGAGTACATGTTTGTAGCCCAAACATCTCATTAAGTGTATTTAATATAAAAGTTGGCAGTTATATGGTTGAAGATGACCTTTAATCAACTATTTCATAATCACTTTAAACATCTGTTTCGTAATTAGGTGACTCATAGGCTGATGCAGTGATAGGATGAAATTAAAACTGTAATTAATATCACCATGGAGCAAGATGCTTATTAAGATCTGAGGTATGAAACAGTCCAGCAAATAATTGAAGTGACTGAAAAACCAGAGCAGAGAGCTAACTTGAGATTTAATAATCAGATAATGTGCTACAGTCTTGTAGGTGGAAATGTTCACTACACCAATATCTCCTGGATCTCTCTGTGAGCAGCAGAAGAGTTCCTGAATTTTACTTTAAGTGGCATTTTGATTGCAGACTAATTGGTTGAACTGTTAGATGATCTTTCTTAATCAGTGCCAGTTATTGAGCCTGGCTAATGGGCGATTTATTTCGGTTAATTATAGACAGAACTTCATCACATAACTTGAGGCAGTTGACATCAATTCTAGCCAGACACACCCTTATCATCAGGGCTGAACAAACTGACATTTGAATAGATTCTCTGTTGCACTTTATCTCAGTTGTTGCGTGAAACTTTTAAATACCAAGCTGTACTCCTCCGGTTCAGCTGTCCATAACTGCTGATCTAGTTGCCAGTTGGTTGAGAGGCAAATTAACTGAAACTCAAAGAGCATAATTCTGAGATAAATTTTCACTAAAATTTAAGTGCAGCAGAGGAATCCCTGGTGTTCATCCTTCTGTCTGTTCCATCTCAGTGACCTGGAGAAGTCAGTGGAGGAGATCCAGAAGGAGTCATCTGTCAACCACAAGCTGGTGACAGTGCAGGAGCTGGAGGAGAAGACCAATGTTCTGAGAAAGCTGGGGGAGACACTCACAGAACTGAAAAGTGAGTCACGCTGGCACGTTTCACATTCTTTGCACAGGCATGAAACAGAAAACACAGCCTTTTACTCTGGAAGACAGTTTATAATGCACTGATTATTCAGCCAGTCTGTCAAATATTTAACCAGTTACAGATTGTTTAGCTTGCCCGCAGTTTTAATGAACTTTCTGACCATTTGCAGTTGTGCGCAAAGCTTTTGTTTAGTTAGATCAAAAGCCTTTCAATGTCTTCGTAAAGTAGAATTGATTTGTTTGGGTGGAAAAAGGTTGGCTTCCTACATTACTCAGCCGCTTTCTCCTGCAGATCAGTTCCCGGGCTTGCAGAGTAAGATGCGGGTGGTGCTGAGGGTTGAGGTGGAGGCCGTCAAGTTCCTCAAAGAAGAGCCACACCGACTCGATGCCCTGTTAAAACGCTGCAAGACAATAACCGACACCCTCACCACCATGCGCAAGTATGAACATGCTCCACCTGAGACAGACATTATCAGCAACTGTTACAGAAAGCCCTTATGTGCTGAATACTGATAAACTGTCCTTAGAGAGAGAAAAGTTATAAATAATCCCCTTAATACTGTTTGGAGAATTTGTCCAATACATTTTTACAGCATTAGCTCAAACAAAAACTTGACCATTTATAATCAATTTGAGGAAGACCTTTTCATTTGTACCTCTGCCTACGATATTAGAGTTTTCACCATTCTGTGTGTGTGTGTGTGTGTGTGTGTGTGTGTGTGTGTGAACATAATGGCCTTTTTCAGCCAGATGAATAAAGGCTCTCTAATTTTATGGTGCGTGTGCACTTCAGCGTTCTGTCGTCTATCTGTTAATCAGCCTCATGTCCAAAAAGCACCTCACTTTCTGGTTTAATTAACTTCACTGATAAAATGGAGCTCATCAAATAAAAAAAATGTCTTTGTGGGTCACAGCAAGTTGGAGGTGGAGGTTTGGCACCTTCACAATGTTTCAAGTTGTGTTTTTAGTGTTCAGCACTTCAAGGCATGGATTATTCATGTTTTAGTTTGTTATGTTTCAATTATTAATTAGTTCTTCTTCCATGGTTTATACCAGACAAGCGAATGAGGGGGTGTGGAAGAAGCAGGAGGACTTCTCTAGTCCTTCATTAAAGCACAACGATGAGTTGCGAAAGTTTTCAGGCTTTGACATCCCCACCAGCCCGCCACTCAGCATCACTGACCTTGGAGGAGGCAACAGCCTGTCCAACTGGAGTCCCCACACCAGCGTCAGCCTCGCCCATAGGAACCCGTCCAGCCCTCACAAAAACAACCATCCTCCTGTTCCTCAAAAGGGCAAAGCCCTGGAAGAACTGGAACGCCGTGCTGCTGCTGACAAAGCTTTGTCCGTGGAGGTCCGACTGGTAGGAAGGATATGTTTTTGGTTTTTTCCCATGCGTTTCCTCTTTGTCTCACAACTTAGTGTCTATATTAAAACACATAGACTTTCTACTCATAGTCTTCATATACACACAGTGACTTTATAAAGTAATTAGAGCCATCTCTCTACTTCACAGGCAGCAGAGCGGGACTGGGAGGAGAAACGGGCCAGTCTCACCCAGTACAGTGCCCAGGACATCAACCGGCTACTGGAGGAAACCCAGGCTGAATTAATGAAGGCTATTCCAGATCTTGACTTTGCTGCCAAGCAAATAAAGCCCTCCTCCAATACACCTTCCTCTCAGACCCCTCAGAATGGGACTGGAACCCCGGAGCACCGCACCAGCAAGCCCCAACACAAGCTTTCTGGGAAAGAGGGAGGATCCAGGCGTGGCTCTGGTAAGGTGGAGAGCTCAGTGCTTCAGTCTGCAGCACTGTCAAGGGAAAACCATGTCAGCTTTTCAAGAGCCAAGAAAAACACTATACATTAATAAAAGAATCATTAGCTTTTATTTTAGTTGAATATTATGAATTATGTAACCTAAACTGAATTAAAGTATGAAAAATATCAAAACTGGAGATACAGTATGAATTTTAAGAAAGTTTTATAAATGTAATAAGTCACCCAACATACAACACTGAGCAAAGTACAGTAAATTTCATGCACTACATTTAATAATATGCCTAAAAATGCCTCATAGCTATCAACAGAATATCTACTGTAAGTAGGGCTCCTTTCTCAAAGTTTCTGTACTGCTTCCTTTTCCAGATGAGCTGACAGTACCACGGTATCGCACGGAGAAACCATCCAAATCTCCTCCTCCTCCACCACCTAGACGTAGCTTCCCATCTTCTCCAGGCCTGACCACCCGTAGCGGAGAGCTCCTCATTCCTGGGAAAAGCATAAAGGCGAGACAGGGAAAACAAACAAATACACAATTTTCACATATACGCTGTATTGTATAAACTAAGGATTTTACACTTAAACTATTATATTGACAAAGCAACAAAAGTTTAATTTCTCAGATCTACATAGCAGCATATTAGTTCCTCTTTAAAGAAAGAGGTTAATAGGAGTTAATCTGTTGTTCTGTAGATGCAGAATAATCTTGTTAGATCACATTATGTGCTTGTCAATACAATGGTAATGGCAGCTTTTGAGCTGGGCTTCAGAAGCATTTAAAGGCCTTTTTCTATTTGCTGTCATAGAAGTCTGAATCTGAAGAGACTGAAGGCCAAAAGCCTCATGTAAAACTGAGGAGGGCTGTGTCCGAAAACCCTCGTCCTGCATCTACACCTCCCACACTGGCCTCTGAGGACAAAGAGGAAGGAGAGGAGGAGAAAATCGCTGCAGAACTGGAGGTAATGGGGTCCGTGAATTATGTTGATCATACTCTCAATAGACTGGTGTTCAGTGTTTGAGAAAACTGCACACTTTTTATTTATGTTGTGTCCACAATTTGCCACTAGCTTTTACGGTTACACATGCACACAGTTTGTGTGCAGATATGCTCTCCAAGGCTGTCACATGTTTAAGCAGCAGGTGCCATATGTCCTCCTGCCCCTGGCACGGGCAGAGCCCAGAGATCACATACCACTCAGCCACATCATCGCCCAGGTCTCACAGCTCACAGCCAGACAGATGGACCCTGATGACTGCCTGCGCTGTGTTTGAGATAGCCTTCCTGAAATCTGATCTGGATTCAACAGTAACTGATTTAAATTATTCAGTTTTATCCTATTAATATCAGCTCTTGAACCTCCCTTTTTTTCCCAGCTGTTTGAGAGAGCTCCGCTCCGGCTCACTGTACCCCCTCCCCTTTCCCTGCCTGTTATCCCTAGCAGCAGGAAAAGCATCCCCCCCTGCAGGTTGGACCTGTGGCCCCCTGAGGCCCCAGGCACTGAGGTAACACTCTGGATGACCTTGAGTGCTGCAGATTGCTGCCCTCTGTGCCCTCTGTCTATGTTCCTTTTAACCCCTCTACCACATGCAGAAACCCCCAGCTACTGCTCAGCCTCTGGCCACCTCTGCTCATGCACTTTTCCTTTATCTTCAAACTGAAATGAACACAAGCCTCCTTTCAGCAGGTTTTATTGATCACCAGCATATCTTCTTCTTCTTGGTGTGCCTGCATGCTGTGTTAAATAATCCCAACCATTTTTTGTATTGCATTATGTGTTCAAACTGGTTTTCAGACTGTATTACTTGATAGTATTTTGTCTCATTTGAAGATCTGTAGACATACAGAAGCTTATGTTTTAGTGGTTCTGGAACAGAAAAGCATTTAAACCAGCTGGTCTGCTGTACATAGCCACCACCATATCATTGGCTTATGCTGTAGAGGTGTGATGACTGACATGGTAGCTATCAGTTACCTGTGTACACATTCAGGAGAGAAAAAGATTAGCATTCATTTTGAGTCAGGTTTGATTGGTTCTTAAGCTTGTCAGGTCTTTGTTCATCAGTTAATTTTGTCTAGCATTTGTTGCTTGACAGGAAGCATACAAAGTTTGTTTTTTTTATGATAAAATAATTGTGCTCTAAAGCCAAAATGATTGACTAAAGTAGCCAAAGGCTCAGTGGTTTTTATTGCTAGAAGATCTCAAACAAACATTGGTCTTCAACAGATTCAGTGTGAAAACTGAGATTACTGATTAATGCAGCTTTAACTTTGCATAAAACAATGAGCCACAGTGTCAGTTAGCAACCGTCCACCATTTGCCTAATGTCCCCCACACCATCCTTGGCACAAGTGTTACACTTTGAACACACATTTAGCTCCTTTATATATGAATGCAGCCATCCTTCACAGTGTTTTGTGTGAGAGAGTCAGTTATGTTAGGAGGTTATCTAGTAATTCATTACACAGTTGACAATATCACTGTCTTTTTGTAGAGGTTCTTGGTTATCTTTTTGTGTAGTGATCATCAATTTTACTTAAAGTTGTTAGACTGTGCTGCAGCTAAGACTCGTTCAGTGTGTCTAAATATAAAACTCAAGTGCTTTCCTCATTTGTAGGGAAGGCGCTTGTCTCCTGTCCACCACATCATGTTGACAGAGTGTTGGTCACCTTCACCAACTGCCTCAGAGGATCCTGTCAGAGATTTAGCAAATGACTCTGTAGAGGAGAGTCCATCACCAGATTGGACCAGTAATCACACAGTCTACGAGACAAACTTTTCAAAGAAAAGGGATTCATTTGAAAGCTCTCCTCAACGAGAGCGAGAGCTGCATTGCCTTAAGCAGGATGTGGAATTAAAACAGGAGCTTGCCCTGCTGTTGACAGAGCTGGAGGTGAAGGTGCTGTCTCCCCTTGAGGCTCAGGAGCTCAGCAAAACTGCAGGTGATGTTTTACAGACTCTGACCATCTTACAGCAGACTAAAGAAGTCTCTAAGGTCCAACTAAATGATCGGCCTCTTCTAGTGATCTTTGAGAAAGATAAAACAGTCAGAGAGGCCTATAGGCTGCTACATTCCCTTCTGGTTTCATCTAGGCCAGTGCCCATAACACAATCCTCCCTCCACCCAGATCAGCAGAGTTCTCTGGTGGAGGTTCTGAGGAGAGGTATAGAGACAGGGGACAGGATACTGAATCTTCAGCACAACACTGAAATGAACATGAGTCCTGATTCACAGCACAGCTCAATGAGCAGTACTCCTGAGTTCAGTGGGTCAGCTAGACCTGAAAATAGTTTAGCTATTCGAATGAGAATGACGGAAAATGTCCGACGCAGCACTTACAGGAGGCTTGACAGCCTGGAGGAGACTATTCGCGAGCTGGAAAATACCCTAATAAAGATCAGTGGCCATCCCGCTGCAGAGCAGCTCTACAGCGAGACTGTGCAGATGACTGACTCTCCAACCTCAGAGACCAAGAAGCCCCCAGTGCCATCCAAGCCATCACCTTGGAGCCCAGCATCAATCCAGGTTCATTGCTCACGCCTGCTGTGCAGGTTCCTGCTCTGAAGCAACATGCTCTGTTTTCTTTCTTCACTTCTTCTCTCCGGGTGGTTGTGAACTTCACTTTCAAGCTCCTGGTGTCTGCTCCCTGATTAAATCAGCATCTAATTGTATTTTAAACAATGCAGAAGGGACAGACAGCAGACTTCCTCTCTTCTTGTCTGTTCTGTGATTAGTGCTGGAGCTGCTCTCCTGCTGAGCTGTGATGCTGGTAATTTTGTTGTGGTTTATTTCTTTATCGATCTGTCCTGGCATTTGTCTTGTGCCTGTAAATCTGGTAAATTTCACTTTTCATTACTCCAAGCAGGCCATAAAAATAATCCATAGATAATACAAACATTTCTAATTTCTTCTTTTTTTCTCTCCTCTTTACTTGTCAGCTTAATCAAATGATGTTGTCTTCTTATTGTTTTGTCTTGAAATTAACTTTCTTTGCCTCAGAAATTGTTTTAAACAAAAATAATGAACAAGCATAATTGCATGTTTTATCTACTGTCACATTATACTTGCACCCACCAAATGTTCCATCCATAAAACTCCTCGCACACCTACAGAACTGCAAAAATCACTTCTCACTATACTCTTCTTGTTAATATCTAAAGCTCACATATTGCATGTAGCCTCCTTTTAGCTTACCTCCAGTTGAACATAACATAACAAAAGACTAGTGATTATCAAAAGACTTATTGCTGCGTCAGCTGCCGCTTCAGTGAGGTGTCTTGACAGCTTACATACAGTAGCATTCCTTGTTTCTTTGAATGTAGCTTCCCACTTGGGGCAGGGTTGTAATACTTGAGAGTCACACTGTCCCGGTGAGTTTGAGCTCTCTGATGTAGCTCCAGGGACCATTCCCATGGGTCTGGCTGAAGATTACAGAGTCTTCACACGTTATTTCGTCAGTCTAACTTCAGCCATGTTCATCTCCCTACTCTTGTCTAACATTTGCTCGTGTACTCCTCAAATTCACACTAATAAATGATCTACTTTCAAGGCCCATTACAGTCCAGTTTTTAATTAAGACATCAGAATGAGGATTTATCCATCAAGAATTAGGTCTACTGTATATTTTATGTCTGTATTTCAAAATTCTGTCTGACATCAAGAGAAAAATTAGCAAGGAAGGGAAGCAGGCAGATTATCTGCAGAGAGAGACTGGCTATTTGACACTACAACATTTAACTTTTATTAGTTTTCATTTCAGCTAATGTCTTTGTGTGCTGAAGAGGTACTGTTGGATGGAAATTTGTCTCAGTGTGTATTTGCTTTTGTGCATATTAGAGACGGTCGACAGCGTAACTCAGTGGGAAAGATCATTAAGCACAGTGCCTTGTGGAGTGAGGCTTGGCTATGCACTGTCAGTTTTGATGCTAAGTTTCTATAGTCTGCTCTTTTGTCATTTTGCACTGATAGATGGTAAAACTCTGTGAAGCAGATAGTTCATTTTTATATCGGCGTCAAGCACTGATCTTAAAAACCTCATTGGTCTCAGGAGACAGACTTGCTCTCTGGATTCAGACTCTATACCGAGTTGATGTATGTCAGAGACATAAACTGAAGGCACTGAAGAGGAGAAATAAAATATACAACCATGTACTGTGTGTCCAAGGTCTGATTCGCACGCTCTCCTCTCCTCTCCTCTCTCAGGGAGGGAATAGCTCCAGTGCTGGTAAGGTTCCCCACTCCTCAGCCGCCTCCAAGCTGAAGCACCTGCAGCAGAGCAGCACAGACAGCACTAAAAGTGGCAGAAGGGAGGACTTCCTGAAGATCCAGGGCCAGCAGGTACCGTGTTTATGTTTAGCACTGTCAGGACCAAAAATGCATATTTGATTTGACAGCATACACTCTATGCATACGGGACTGTGTTGTACTTTCCGTTACTCTGTCTTGACTTTTGTGGTAGTTGCAGCCAAGGCCATGACCATTGTTTGGCATTTCAAGAAGGCTTGCACATAATAATGGTATACAGATCATAAACATGAAGATGATTATCACTATGGAAAAACAATGTATTTCACCCTCAGTCTGTAATTAGGGCAAAGACCAGCAACAGTTTGTGTCCATTATAAATCAGGACAAATTGAACAGAGCGTTCTGTGGATGTGGGGCAATATTAAAAACATTTTTCCACATATTCAAGCAGATTTGATGAACTTGCTACTTATATAGAAACACAATTTTTCATACAAGTGATCGCACTGCTGCACAATTTCAGCAAGCCTTAAAAGAGGTACATTTTAAAAGCAAGGAGAAGGTCTGGATCTGAACCTCTGCAAGCTGATGAAGTGTCCAGAATTACCACCCTGCCCCACAGCAGATAAGCATTTATCTTTACCTCTGCTCAGTCTCCTCTTTACCCTACAGAACTGCTGCACATCCCTACCAAGCTCAAATCCTCAGCACACATTTATTGCACTGTGTATTTTTTAAATATCAGCTTAACAGTGCTTTTATAGTTTTAAATTATATCTGACTGAAGAAACTAAACTCATTAAAAACTTCTCACCTGGACTTAACATACTTAGTTAACAGGAACTTGAGAAGATAAAAAAATGGTGTGACAGTAATATAGTATCTCTGAATTTGGATAAAACTAAATTTATGGTATTTGGGAATCGCAGACTAGACAATGAACTTCATTTGAAAATTGGGGGAGCTAATATAGAATGAGTATTTGAAATTAAATTTCTAGGTGTCATAGTTGATGACAAATTCTCCTGGAAATTGCATATCAGATATGTTCAGCATAAAATAGCAAAGAATATATCAATATTGGCAAGGGTTAGATATATTTTGGACAGGAAAGCACTA